TGTAATAGGCAATTTTATGGAATTCTGAAAAACTACAGCCAAGTGGGAGTGCCACATAAAGAATGTTCATTGTAACACAATTCATAACCACAATTCCCTATGTCTAATCTCACAGTTGTGAATTTTTGTGAGGGGTGCGTGCTCTTCATGTGTGTGAAGCATGAGACAAAGGGAGACAAAGAATGAACATTGCAAGAAACTTTCTCTTGCATATCTGCCCTGTGAATCACTGCTTGACAGCAACAATTTCTATGCCTGCCAGAAACAATATTGTTYAGTGCCCACTTAGTATTGTCATGAAGAAAACAGACATTGTCCTGCTCGAGGAAAGCATGCATCAGATCTGTAAGTCATCTGTAGTAATTAGTAGTATAACCCAGTCAAATATGAATTCCATTTTTTTTGTGGTTTTTTTTTTTTTTGTTTGCTTGGCATATGCACACTAATAAGTTTCATTTCCCAGAAGCACCAGAGCTTTCAATTCTTCTGCGTAAGTTCAGTGATTCATTTCCAGGTAAATGGAAAGCAAGTTTTGAGACTATGAGACATATGAAACAKCTTTTGAAATGTGGATAATTACAGGTTTAGTTCAGAGAGAACCAATCATATGCATGAGGAATCAAATCTCTTCCTCACTAGGCAAATTTTGATGGGCTTTGGATCAGAAGATTATAAGCTTCCATGCTTTTACTGTCATCCTTCCTAGTTCTTCTAAAGGCTTATATTATGTCCCCATTGATACAACTCCGGGCAAGATGCTGTTCTGATATTTTGTGGGGTCAGCTACCTTTTCATCATGTCCCGTAATAAAGATGCTTCTCCTTCAACCATGTTACATCTCACAATGAAACAAGCTGCTTCCCATTATGCCACCTCCAAATCATTCTGAGGGTTGATTATGAGGCTGGARCTAGAGGCACACATTCCCATTTTGCCATACAACAATGTATTTTCTGTCCTGTTCTTGGAGCCCAGATGGTTGACATCTGGGAAAACTGAGGATAAGGAGCTGGAAAAAGCAAGAAGTACTGCCTGGGGAAGGTATGAAATCACAGTTAAACCATTTCCTCTGTRAATCCCATCCTTCCTTATCTGTTGTAGAAACTCCAAACCTAATCTTGATGAGTTAGCCGGGAACAGAGCTTCTGAACCATTCTGAACTTCTGAAACTTTTCCACATTTCTATCCAGTCACCTTAGGCTTCCTTTACTTTGTGTAAGGACATATGAGAGTTTGTGCTGAGTTAAATTAAATGTTCATCTAGCTTGTACTGTCTTCAACAGCTATGTCTGCATTTCTTAAGAACTCAATGAATTAATTATTCTTCACTGTGGCCTCACCAGTGCCAAGTACAAGGGTAGAATGGTCCTGCTGGCCACATTATTCCTCATACAGGCCAGGATCCATTGACCTTGGCCACTTGGACACATTGCTGGCTCATGTTCAGTCAGCTGTCGACCAGTACCTCTGGGTCCCTTTCTGCCTGGCCACTGTTCAGTCACTCTGTCCCCAGCCTGTAGCCCTGCAGGGGGTTGTTGTGGCCAAAGTGCAGGATTTGGCACTTGGACTTATTAACTTCATTCATGCCCTCAATCTCATCCTCCTTTTTTTCTCTCTAGAGGCATCATTGTCTTCAGACAGACTGTTTATAGCACAGCTGGGGCCAAAAGTGAAAACTGTGGAATGTCATTGCACTTGCAATTAGCCATGCACTGCTCCAAAGGGAAGTGGTCCAAAGGGAAGTGCTCTGCAGTGAATGATACATCTCCCTGTAATAATCTCTTAATTTATGCAAAGTAGTGTTTGCTTTGGATTAGTCTTTCTCCTTCACCTTCTCAGCTGTGATTTTTATCAAGTATTTCTTAACAGCTCCATAAGTTTAGCATTTATTTGATTAATTGTGAAAAACTGAACACAGCTTTTAAACCATAAATGACTGGTAAGAAAAGAATAGACTATCCATTGGGCCTAGGCTCAAGCCTTGCTGAATTTGGGAGCCTGATGGGGAAATTTCAACCTGTGTTGAAATGTGCTTCCATAATTTCATGGTTTCTCTGAAACTACATCACAAAATTCTCCACACAATATCCAAGACACCTAGTTATTTGGTTGTTTGTTTTATTGTTAATTTATTTAATTTGTTTATTCATTCCTTGGCAATCTTGACAAATCTCTTTGATTTTCCAGACAGCCCATTTGGAAAACTTTCTGGATATTATTGCTCTGTGTTTTCAGAGCCCAACAAGTCTCCTCAGCAGCAATTCAGCTTCTTTTGYTCTTAAAAGTGGCAAACAGAAGAGGAAACAGAGGCCTTCCCTCTCTTGGTGCACTGGATTACCGAAGGCTATGATGTGATGGTTTGAAGGTTACCTTATCCAGTATCTTAGTAGGACTGAAGCCAGGTGATTGCCAGTGCCAACGTGTGTACGAGCTCTGGTACTGAGTTTTTATACTGCCCTGTCTCCACAGTTTGGGAATTGTGCAAATCACCTTCTGGGTCTGAGAAAAAAGAGGATGGGGAAGAGGGACTCCCACACACCTGGGCAATMATAAATGCAAAGTAGGGGCTTGAGATACAGTGAGGACAACAAACAAGGCTGGAAACTCCCTCTGGGGATGGGTGAGCCTGAACTTCAACGCAAACTTGTGACCAACACCCCAACACTGATTTGTCCCTGAGCTGCATTTGCCTGGGGCCTCAGTAACTCATGGGAAGGAGCAGGATTCCTTGGTCAGAGACCAATAACTGGCCCTAAAGCACATGRCTGTGCTGTGATATGTGCAAAGGCAGCCCTGCAGCTCTGGTCGAAGTGACTCTGCGACAAGTGGGRCGTGCAACATTGTGGCCGAATGTGCTAGAAAGAGACTTCAAAACTCCGTGTCTGAACCAGATTGTAGACTGAGAGAACAAACTGTGTGCCAGGAAAACATCGTGAAGCATTTATTTGGAAAAGACTATATTTAATGGGTAGATGCAATACTCTGCCTTCCTGTCCTGACATGCATTTCATAAAGCAAACACATGCACATACAATGATGGTTAACAGATGAGTACRGGGGCAGGTCCAGGTGTGGCTCTGTTTTGGCTGCTCCTCATTCCAGAGGAGAGCTGCTCATCCTGAGGTGGAAGGATTACTCTTGCGGTGACTTCCTTGCTGCTTCACAGGAAAAGAAGTGTTGCTCATAAAAGAAAATGAAAGCCAATTACAGATTAATCCATTATATTCGATTGTTTCATGATATTTGCGACTGAGAATGATTTTGCTCATGAAAAGCAGTGGTGGCTTTGCCATGATGGCTGTGGGCATTCGTGGCACTTCCTATAGATGTAGCATTTCCAATTTCCCCAGTGTTACTCCATGTACAGCTTTCAGAGGAAAAATGGGCACAAGGCTGGGAATTGTCATAGAAGTTTTTGCAAAGTTTGAAATCCACAGTTCCCTACATTTTTTTTTTCTGACAAGGCAGCTAAGCAAYTTTTTCCCATCCCTTTTGTTTCTCATGTCTCTTCAGACAAGCAGTTTCCTTTTCATAATGCTTCTGTTTCAGCTTCAGGGCTCCAGCTACATTTTTTCTAACTGAACATTTAACCGCAGTCAAAACAGCAAGCATTGCCATTTTTTTACCTCATGAATCTCTAACTCCTGATACCTGACTAACTTGATTTATTAATATAGCAGCATCAGACCTTGCAGAAGGTCTTTMCACTTTTCAAAGGCAAGAATGGGAAGCAAATGCAAGTTTGCAATTTTTTTTTCCTACAAAATTCTCAATTCCACATAGACACAAAAGGAAAAAAAGAAGGTTAAAAGGATATATAGGAGAGGAATGTGCATTAGAGGAATGTGCAATGTATGACTAATGAGTACCTTTTGAAACAAAATACAAAAGATATATCTGCTGTCAAATTATCCCTTCTTATGAGGTAATTACTGAGGTATGGATTGCAGAGCCAARTCTTCAGGGACCACACATACACACAATGAGACATAGTTTCTCAGGAGAGGAAATTGCTTGATTCTGTAGACTGGCTTCTTAATACAGAGGTATTACTTATTAGTTTGTATTAGTATATCGCCCATTATTGTATAAAAAATTATCTCCATCTGTTCATAGCATCCTTGGATCCAGCCATACAGGCCAAAGATTGGCTTCCAGCTCTCCATTCTCTCTTGCCCTTCTCTTCTCTTGGTTTTCATTTAGTAAAGAAAAAAAAAAAAAAAAAAAAAAAAAAACCAAAAAAAAAAGCTTGTTTCAAAGATTTATCAATTTTCTTCTCTGTCCAGAATGTGATTCCTGTAATTTCTATAGCATCTAATTATNATAATATTGTTTTATTGCATTGTGATGATACACTCCGTTTACTATTCTATCTTCCCAGAGGTATTAAATTATTTATTTTGCCCAACGTCTTCCTTGGGCTGAAAAACTGGTTTCAGAAGTAGTTTTTGTGTTTTCTTCTTATCGTATCCACTTTACTTTAGTAATTGGTTATCTGCCTTACTTTAATAATTTGCATCCTCCAACAGTTAATGTGTGAAGACATGATCTGTCATTGGGTAGGAAAAGGGATATAGTATCAGTATTTGTCTTTCAGGCAAATTTTAATTTATTGACTTGTCAGAATTGCTTCACTATCAGGTAGGAATCAAAAACCTGAAATTAATCATCTTTTCTTATCTCTTTCATTRTATCTTTCCTCATTTATTTTTTCWAGACCTCCCTAAAAATTGTTCCAGTTCTGATGCATTTTTGTCTCCAGGATGAATTCATGGCAATCATTTCAATGGCAATCATTTCAATGTAAATTCTCATTCCAGAAWTTTCTTTTTGACTTTAGCTGATTGCAGAAGAGGAAGCTTTGGGRTGAATTCCAGGTGCTCTTTTAAGCAGATAATCTGAACAAGAGAATTATGCCAGAGAGCTCAGAGGGAAAATTCAATGCTGCGCCACGGTGGCTGTGCCATTGCAGAGAACAACTGGTTGCTGTGTTCAGGTAATTATGTTACTTTCTTGGCTCTGATGGCTGTATGCAATGTTGGGAGCTGAGCCTCGGTACAGAAATGGCAATAACCAAAGTTATCAGCTGACACACAACCCATTATAAAACTGGTTATCTTTTCCTGTTACAACACAGCTTCTTTTCATTTTCAGAGGATGGTAACTCAGGGAAGGGAAACCAGATAATTCTAAAAGCACAACCTGTTCCCAGTTCCCTATAAGGAAACTAGGCAAATATAATATAGACTGTAATCTGTGTAAATTTGTTCAAAGTTGGGAATTTCCACTTCACAAGCACTTCTTGGTGCAATAATAACCGATGCAATAATAATAAATGGTGAATTCTGTGAAGAATAAAACAGGAGCAAGTGTTTCCAGTAAGGCTGTTGTGATAAGACCCAGCCAGMCAGTGCTGGGAATCGCTGACAGAACTACAGAGCAACACAGAGTGACAAAGGGAGAAACAACTGCAACACAGCCAAYGCCATTACTGTCAATCATCGTTCATGAGGCTGTGTGAGGAAGTGTGACTTCCTCTTTGTTGGTTATGGGTTATTTCAGATGAGAAAACCCCTTGAAATTTGCATAGATAGCACTAAACAAATTCTGACCTTTGAGGTCTGGGATCTTTCTGGGCTCCCCAATGGACTGCACTGCTCAGGGTATGCTCATCTGAATGATCTTTAGTGGTTTGTTGTAGAACTGAACAAAAGTCATTGCTCCTATGGAGGGCAAAAGTCAGTTTGAGTCACTGCTTTTTTTTTGCCATGCTCACCATGTTCTCAGCCAGGTAGCAGCTGCTCAAAATTGCAAGATTAATGACATTAAATTAGAAAAACATCCAAATGTTAAAAACCTGTAGACTTTTTTTTTCTTAATGCGATCCCATGAAGGGAGCAAGACAAGGAAGCTCCAGAGGAGGTATATGGTGTACCTACTCCCTAGGTATTTGGAACATTTGTAAGGAGAGGAGGAGGCTATAAGTGTAGCATCATCTAGCCTGTACCCTGCTGTTGGAAACTGCCCCTTCCAGTCGGGTGCTTTCTGCAGAAGGTAGGTAGAAGGCTTTGCAGTGTTTCAGCCGATGGTTACTCACTCACATTTTACACTGTTGGGATTTAGAAACTGATATTTGGTGTTTGCCAAAAGATCACACATAGAGTTCCTGCTCTTAAGCTGCAGCAGTCAGGGGATATTGTAATAGCTCCATTTTCCACAGAGCTCCAGGTGTCTCAGGGATCTGGGCAACTGAGGACACTCATGATGAACACACTCCAAGCTGTCTGGTTTATCATCGCTCCTCTCCACTGGTGTTGAGGAAATGAACCACAATTTTCAGTAAGTATGTAAGTTGAGAGAGTGATTGATTACAGGCAAATCTGCTCCATTTGCTGTAGATGTTTGCCCTTTTGCAGGCCAGCTCCGACCGGATTTTTGGATGATGACATGCTGATCTGAATCATGGAAATACTTAGCAGGAWTTTATTGCTGATACGCAGTAAGCCACAGGAATGTAAGCAAGTCAAGGGTGATAAGATATGTCTACTTCCTCTTTCGGATGAACTTCTCAGCTTTCATGTGTAGGCTGAATTATGCAGTCCTAGGCATTAAAGTGTAGTTCCTTGGCTAATGTACTGTGTAATGATTTCCTAGAAAAAAATAATTACCTATGAATACATCATTCTGATTAGATCTATCTGAAATATCAGTGACAAATTTATGCTAAACARGAAAGGACAGTAACTTTTTCCAATGTTTTGAACCATTATAATGTTTATCACAGTTTAACAATTCAAATCCAGTATAGAATGGGGAAATTGGATTTTTCGCCTCTGTAAAACTCATTTAGGGTGTATTTTYTGATCAGTTGTTCTGGTCAAGAGTCCTCTGAGAAAAAACGATTGCTASTAGGTATTTTCATAAAGGACTGTGYCCCTTAATGTAATTTGTTAAATAGAGTTAAGTAGGAAAGAGTGYCTTGTAAGTTTCTTTTGTCAAGCAGGAGCAAACATAGCTAAGCAGCAGAAAAAACGTTACAATTTTTGTGCAGATACAGGCAGTGAAAAGTCCTCAGGGGACCGTGAAATAAAAATAGAGGATAAAACCATATTAAGAGAAGTTACCACRATATTAAGTACAACCTGCTGGTTTTGTGGTAAAGACAGAAGTGACACTGAAGCACGTGGGATTATAGTTCAGGAACAGGCTTGGGAATTGGAGTGTAGGTTCACCCCTGAACATTCCCTTCGGGCAACACCAGCCATGTGCTSTCCAAAAGCTTTTTAAGGGGTACCYTCAGGCAGCTGCTCGCTTTTTTGGCATGCTGTGTATGTGTGCTGTGTTCCTCTCTCTCTGTAGCTAATTCCAGTAAGGAGCTGCCTCCTGCAGCTGGCATCTTTTCACCAAATGGCATGGTTATTTATAGAAATTCTTTCCTTCTCCCTCAGAATATCTCCACTAATATCTCCACTTCCTTGTTTTCTTTTACTCCCTTCCTTTTCATGGACATGGTTTAGAGGTAACATGGCAGTCCTGAGTTAATGGTTGGATGTGGTGATTTTATACTTTTTTTCCCAGTCCTAATGATTTTACAGTTCTATGAAAAATGGCCAATTTTTTGCAAATTGACAAGACCAAAAATGTTTTTTTTTTTTTTAAAATGCAGGCTCAGAGGTGATAAAACTGTTACAGAGACACAGTGGAATTGCTGTTATGTTTGCCTGTATGTGGATTATGGGGATGAGGGAGAGGTGAAGGCAAGCTATTTGTCAGCATGCTTGTTACCTATAAAATATRATGAACAAGAATTGCAGCTTGCTCTTAGCCATATGCCTCTCATGTTTGATTTCCTATAGCTCATGGATGTTTCCATGCCAGCAGATCTACATCCTAATTAGATACTTCCTTTTCTTACTAGCTTTTTAAAAAGGCTTAGAAGCAATTCCTTTTCAGTAGTGTTGATAGTGTGACCTACAAGCTCACTTGGATGATTCCTTCTTTTATCTTACAATATTCTTGCAATCTCTCTTCTTCCTAGAAACCAAAGTACTTCTTTATTATGCAATTCTTAGCATGAACTTTCCCAAGCTGGTTTTTGCATGTATCGTCAGACCATCACACCTCCTGAAGCTTCTATTGGTTTATTTCTGGTGGTCGCTTTCTTCTCTACACCAACTGAAAAGGAGACCTTGAGAGTGTAATGACCATGGTCAACGCACGGCCAGTGGGTCCCTGGGGTGACCTTGCTGCACAGCAACTCATGGTTCTGCAGCCCTGTGGCTCTGTAGCTGGCAATCACATGGCTTTGCAGATGAGCACCACAGAAATGCCAGCAGGTAATGGATTTGTAATGAGGGACTATACATGGAACTAGGTCTTGAGACACCTGATGACAGGTGGGAGGCAGTGCCTGTGGTCACTGGCAGTGCCAGTGAGTGGAGCTGGGGGTAGGAGGGCTCAGAMCTGGATAAGGTTTTTGGGTGATGCATAAAAGAAGGTAATGAGCTGGTGTAGTGGGAATTTTTGAGGTACGCTGCAGGTGCAGCTATTGGATATTGAAGTGGTCTTGGGAAACAGAGACTTGCTCCTGGATGTGAACATCTACTTSTGCCTGGCCTGGCAGATAGAGGACCTGTCCCACCACCTCCAGCCCTCAGGAAAGTGGGCTAGGTATTGCTGTGCATGAAAAAAAAAATGCTCTTCATAGAACCACAGAATCATAAAATGGTTTGAGTTGGAAGGGACCCTAAAGGTCATCTAGTTCTGACCCTGCTGCCATGGACAGGAAAYATTTCACTAGACCAGGTAGCACAAGAGCTCCATCCATCTGGTCTTGAACACTTCCAGGGATAGAGCTTCTCTGAGCAACCTGTGCCAGTGCCTCACCACTCTCACAGTAAAGAATTTCTTTCCAATATCTAATTTCACCTCTTTCAGAGGCCATTCCCCCTTGTCCTGTCACTACATGCTCTTGCAAAAAGTCCCCCTCAATTGTTCTTGTAGGCTCCCTTCAGGTACTATAAGGACACAATTAGGTCACCCTGAAGCCTTCTCTTTTCTGGGTTGAACAACCTCAAATTCCTTCAGGCTTTCCTCATAGGAGAGGTGCTCCATCCCTCTAACCATCTTGGTGGCCTCCTTTGGGCTCTCTCCAAMAGGTTAGTATCTCTCCAGAGCTGGATGCAGCACTCCCTGTAGGGGCCATGCTGCTTTTGATGCAGCCCAGAATAGAGTTGGCTTTCTGGGCACAGAGTTGGCTTAATTGATATAAGATGCTATCACACAGATCTGAAATGATTTCACATTTATTACATTTTTTATTGCTATTGCCCTGAACCATAGTTCTCCGCCAGGAGCTCCCAATCAGTCTTTAAACATAAAAGCGTAAAAGAACCTACTATGATTCCTCAGGGTGTTTCCAGTATGACAAACCTGTATCTGCAAGACTTTGTACAGAATCTTCGTTATAGTAATTAATATTACTACAAAGACAATGAAAATAATGTGCTTGCWCAGAGCTGGAATTTAGCTGTGAAAAACCACTCCTTCTAACAGATTTATTGGTCCATAAAAATTACAGGCAYAAAACCAGCCTTCTTTTGGGTTTTTATGAAATCTATTAAAAAAAGCTAGCAATATAAAAATGTGTTATAATTTGAGGCATCCCTTAAGTTACCAAAAAGGACTGAACCAGGGCAAACCAACTCAAATTTAAACATACTGTCTACAGTGCTGCCATAAGATAAAATCATGCTTAGTGCCACAGCCTTATTTAATAGCTCATGACTGAAGATAAATTTTACGGTTCAGATAAGGCCTTTTGAAAATAGACATTTATGACTCTTTTATTAGAGAGGACTCTTCACTGGGCACCACTGTAGTAAAATCGTATCTCTGCGAAACAGATGACAGTGTCATTTTGACTTTTACCATGCAACAGAGTGCTGCTGCAAAGCCTGGCCACAAACTATACACAGAAATGCTCCAGTTTGGATCAGCAAATGTTTATGTTCTCCTTTGTGTGGAAACCACTTGGCCCTTTAAGGCCAGTTTTCCTAAAATTAAAAGTTACRTTTTGACATTGGAAAGTTTTGGCTTTAGAGAACCTGTGAGCTAAACATGGTTTGACTAGATTCCAGTTCTCCAATCCATGAGGATTTCCCAAAGCCAATGAGGGATCATTGTTAAACATTTTATTAGAATCTGAAGGTGCTACTGCTGCTAAATGGACAAGGGCAAGGGAAAGAGACTTTGTTCAGTCTGTTTAGCTGTAGCTTCACTGCATGTCTCTGGTTTCTCTCCTGTCTGCTTTAGCAAGGACAAAGCCCAGGCATTGAACTGGGAACAGTTCACTCTAGGCTCTTTTCCCCAAATCTATGGAGCTACCTGTCTCTCTTCCCCTCTACAGTCATTCCATTATACGTCAGCATGTTTTGCCCTCCACTCTTTGCTGCAGTGTATCTGTGGGCATGCAATACACACACTGCATCCTTCGCTATCAGAACACCTGATGGACTGCAAAACGCCTTTTACCTTATTTTGAACACTTTCACCTGAAAGCAGCAGTTCATGTAGTAGCAGCATCTTGGAGCCACCAAGGTGTGACTGAGGCACAAGGACATCTGCTCTGAAGGGAGCTAACCTTCAGTGGTGTGGCCCTGAGCCAGTCTACACTACTTGGAGACTTCTRTTCAGCAGTAGTGAGCTAAAAGCCAACTGCAAGCTAGCTAAACAGGGCCAGGGTATCGGCTTGATAAGTAACTTCTATCAGTCATATTCTTTGGAGTTTATTAACCCCATACCTGGGCCAGTTTTGCCACATGACATTTTAACCAGCACTGCCTCGGAAGATGGCCAGGAGTGTCTTGAGGGATAACACGAGGTCAGGGGCTGGTTGCAATACATGGCATAGTGAAGACCATGCTGTGGAAAGGATCTAGCTGTGCTGCAATAAGCAAGCCAGGCCATCCCATTCATTTGCACGGCCAGAAAACATACCCCAGTCATCCAGCTGTGGCCAGTATTTCATTATAATCAATATTATGGTTTGCTACAGCAAATGTGAAAGGAAAAGACAACAAAGCTGTTTAAATATGGTAGGTTCTCCTTGTTGTAATGTCCTTTTATAACCTGGTGACCTAATTGGCTGAATTCAGTATGATTTCAGTGCTGTTAAACAGAGCCCAGTTTCAATCCCAAGTGGAGTTCCAACATTTCAATATTGTTTTTATTACACATGAAGAAAAAACCTGATCATGAAGTTCTCCAGAAAACAAGATATTCATACAAAAGTTTAATTAAAAACCTTAAAGTTTTMCCACTGTTTTAAAAATCTAAATGAAATGTTATCACAGACCAAAATAAAAAAAAAAAAATCTACTTTGGTTTACTGAAGTGAGCCCAAATGTTTCATTTTGAGGTCATCACCTAGCATCATGCACCTAGCATAATGAAGTAGTGTGACTATGCAGAGTGATCAAAAGAAAACATGTATTCACAATGAAAAACGTAGGGATTGAGAAGCCTCTAATCTAGTAGCTGGGACAACAATTTTGCTGATGATGGGTTTCATCTGACCTGCTGTAGACATCTACTGCTGAGCTGGTTGTCTGCTTTCTTATTAGAGTCACTGGAAGGAAACAGGCACTGTTTGRAAAGTGAACAAGGTTCAGTTTCTGAATGTAACTTAACTGCACAGACTGCGCTAATGATCTAATACTAGGTAATTTTAAAGAGTAGAAATAGGCCTTTTGGAGTGAAATCCTTTGCCAATATTAACTTCAGAGTGAGACAGAAAAGGACCCAGAGGCAGGCACAAAACATATTTAACTTGCATTTTATATTTTCTCATACTTGGGTAAATTTCTGCCAGGTATTTTACTGCCCATATTGCCCAAGACACAGATATTCATTGCAAACTCCTCCAGCACTGGGGTCTGAAGTAGCCCAGCAAGCCTGTGAATGATCTCTCTAGCACATCTCACGATAATCAATGTCAGTTATGACAATGAAGTGAAAACCATTAAGAGGTTTTCTGAATGCCAGGAAGTAATGAAGCTTTTGGACTCATGCATATGGCATCAGATCACTCTGTGCTGCAGTTATTAGAACAGTCTGGTAGATTACTTAATCAGGCACATCTTTAAACACCATAAGTGAACAGTCATAAATTCTGGACAAGCATTTTCTTTGAGCTTACTGTAGGTTGACTTGTTTTTAGGACTCACCAAGAAGAAATGTGAATCTTTTCATTTCTTAAGACCTCAGAGTTAGGAGTATMTTGCCAGTGTCTGCTGGGCAGTGGATGAATTGCTGTAAACTTGCCCTCAGCTCCTGATTGCTACAGCTCTTTAGAAGATTGCATCTGTGAGGGTAAACCCAACCCAAACTTTCTTTACTCTGTTCTGTTGTCCCAGAACAGAGGTGGGAGGAAAAGCATYCCACGACCCCTCAGCCTAAAGCTAGGTGGTCACTGTGATAAATGAAAATTCCTTTCCTACTAATCTTTACTACTTTAATTACCATCAGCACAACCTTGATGGGCAGACCTACCCAGCTTTATAAAGAGCTTTTTATATCTGAAAGACATTATCYAATACTGTTTGACATATTGCAACTCTTCAGCTGTCTGGAAATATAAAAAGCACTGAAGCAACCTAAACTTCATCATGCTATGATAGCAAATCCTGACTACCTGGACAAAATACTTCTGAAAAATCTACTCTGTTGAATGTGAATGGAGAATCTTGGATAACCTAAAAACATTCAGCTATGTTCTTCTCCAGAGCTAGCGATTAGCATATAGGAATAAGGGCATAAAAATCTATGTATCCCATGTTTTGACTTTTGGATTATACATTTTGGGTTTGTTTGTGAGTGCTGCTATTGGCCATGATGGAGGCAGAGGGTATGCCAAGCTTCARTGCTAATCTCCAACTATTTAGAAATTCTCCAAAATGATTTTAGGTTGCATAAAAATCTCTTACAAGATGGTCAAGATGGACTTAGTTGTTAATCTAAGACTATTTTCTGCAYTTTTAATGGACCATTTTCTGTTGATATTACCATATTTACTTTTTTCATATGCAACAGAACATCAGAGATCTCAACACTGTCAGTGAAAAAAAGACATTTGAGAAAGAAAACCTGAATCTCTGACAACGCTTTGATTTACAGCAGCTTCTGAATTTAATAGYTGGAAAAGCACTCCTGTACTTACTTTCTTCTTCACTTCTGCATTTGATGGGTTTGGTGTTGCCCACAACAGAAAATCCCTCAAAGGGCTTCCCTTTTGAGATGTTTTCTTAATGTAACTTCTGTTACAGTAGCTGGAGTTTTTCAGACTGTGCTGCCTACTCTTAACTGCCTTGTTTTTCTCAGCAAGGGAACTGCTATGTTACAGGCATGGGGTGCCTTTTGTGCCCCCATCATGCAGCATGAACCCCCACACATGCATGACCACTGTGAGTTGATAAAGACAGGCATAAACAATTAAATATTCAAACTTTTGTCYCAAATATACACAGCAAAGAGGCCAGGTATGAGTGCCACGCATATGCCAAGAGCTTTTGCCCTGTTTCACACGCAGCTAAAATGATTTCTCACTTCTAAATCTGTTTTCCTCTTACAATCTCATTGCTGTCTTGCAGCCCAGTGTGATGGCAGCCCTGGTATCGTCACTCATGTAACTTCTCTGCCAGGGACTGACTGGCAGAAAGGCATGATTCGGTYACTGGGCCAAGYTCAGGCCCTGGGGTCCCTAAYAAATAAGCACAGGCACACATTGTTYTGCACTYCCATACAGAACGGTTGGAAAATTGAATTAAATTGGGTAAATTAAGCCAAAGTCTCTAGGCTTTGAAGAAAAGGTTTTTCCTCAATCATTAGCAATGCACAGTACAAATGGGTGTAAAAAAAAGGGAATAAGAGAGGAGAGAAACAAACTACGTCATGAATATCCCCAAAGGCAAATTACCACCCCAGAACATACCAGTGCCAGGATAAATCCAAGTATTTCCCCTCTCCGGGTGGAAGCAGAACASAGTGACTCACCTCAGACAACCACAACATCACCTTGTTTACTTGGTGTGCTCTTGAAGTGTATTTTGCAGGCCATGTCTGAAAATGAGGACCTGGATTTTCTTGAACAACTCTTTGAAATTCTTYTTCTCTAAGCCAGTTGCTAGTGAATAACTAAAGCCATCCTCACCTGTAATACAACACCCGAATGTCACTTTATCAAATTGTTGATATTTTATGACAAAAAACTTAAAAAAAATTAATGCAACAAGAAGAGCAAAAAGATACATTTGATGCATGACACAGCTTCCCAATTCAACTTTTTCTACTGCAAATGACAAAAGATAACCCCCTTCATAGGAGCTATTGACCAATAATTTTTCCATGGTAAAGGCTTTGTAATATTCTGTTCTAATATTCTAATAGTCTGTCCAATACAGAGTGGGCCATCTTTGCTAGGCTTCCAGGAACTRGGGATTAACTTCAACTGTGGCAGTCTTCAAGTCATGTACAGGAATTTTAGTGCTAGTGGAACTCCCTTTTAAAGGTTTTAGTTTATGTGGTGCCTAGAAATTACCTGTCTGACCTCATAACCAACCCAGCAAGGATGTAAACTTGTGAGTTCCTCCTTGGCATTTCAGTTTCTTTCTGTACCTTCCTGCATAGGGGAGGTTTTGAAATGTCTTATGCACCACAAGGTGCCCATATGGTTTGGAAATCCCTGATCAGAGCCAGTCTGAGCTGCTCCCCCACTTCTCCCAGCTTCTCACACATATCCCAAGGCTCTGCTCAGAACAGCTATTTTTGGCTCTTTCTGAAAGTTRTGTTGTTTATTCCAAGAAGCCCTCTGAAGAATTTACACATCGGAGCCCATGTTGCCAACAATATGGAAATTATAACTGCAATACAAAGGACAGTTAATAAAACCAAGACATGATCCTAATGAAATAAATGCTAATTTGTGTCCACTCTAGGAAGCGGGAGATCTTTACATGTGTGAAGTTATTAGAAAAAAAATTCTTGCTGCTCAAAACGGTGGTATAATTATTTTAATAGGTTAATAACTTGGTGAAGACAAATTCAGATGATGTCAATGAAATTTATCTTTTGTAAGCAGATGCAGAAACTGCACAGTGTTTCTGCAACTTGTCCATTAACTGCATGCATGCTCCTGCAGCAGCTGAAATACCACGGATTGCTTGTAACAGAACCATTGTTCTAGCTCTATTTGTGGAAATTTGTTGAGATTGCAAATGAGAATAAGTATCACAAGCTGGGCATAGTTATTTTCTGACAATGCAAGGCACATTTCMGGATTGATATCTTCCCAGACTTGCTGTGAAATTAAGGCTGTGGTAAAGTAGTACAATGAGAAGCATTGTATTACTCACATCACACATTTCAGTGCGATGTGAAAGGGTGTGAATCACTGCAGAAGTATGGTACTAGTGTTTGGTGTTGGACAGGAAGGTGGGCTGGATTCAGAATTCTGGCCTGTGCTTTGCCCATTACTTAGTTTATGATCTAGAATGGGACACTCAATTCTTCTACTTATTAGCTCGTGCASAAATGACACCAAATAGTTATTCACTTCTTGCTGGTACACCAATGAATTAAAAAAAAACCAGCAAACCTCTTATGCAAATAATGATTAACGCAGTTTTCCGACCCAGGATGTTCCTGAGGATCATGCTTTGGGTGTAATGCCCTTTCCCGAGTCAGCCGGGTCCCCAGACCCACCCCCGCGCCTCCAAACACAGAACTCCTTGTGCTGAAACGCACAAAATTGGTGCGGAGTTTCGTCCCTGACACGACCCTCGACTCATTACGGCATTTCGATTTGCTTCGTACCATCTGGTAATGGTGTGAAATGGCACTCCTGGGATTCCAGCCGTTCTTGCCTAGGAAAAGGAACAGCCGGTCCCGGTACCGAGAAGGCTCTCTGCCCTGCCCGCCTTCCCGCGACAGCCGCCGCTTTCTGTGGAAAGAATGCAGCTCTGGCTGTCAACGCAGCTCAGCGCAGCAACGCAAACTCCTTTCCGCAGTGACCCCCCGTTATGGAGACCGTCCCAGCCGGGAAAGGGCTCGTTCGCGGGCGCTGTGCCGTGACCACTGCCGGGAGACGCCTCCGCTCCACCCCGGCCCGGCCGAGCCGCGGCCTTCGCGCCCCCCCTGCCGGCAGCGCCTCAGCGAGCCCGCCGGGTGGGGGGGGGGCCGGCCTGGCCTGCAGCCGGGCATGGCGGCTTCGAGCATGGGCTAGCCGAGACCACTGCAGAGAAGGTGCTCCCGAGTCTCTCGGGGTTCATCAGGCAATGACGTTTGCTAGGGRTTGTTAAATAAAGCTGAGCTGTATAACAGTAGCAGCGTTCCCTGCGCGTTCAGACGTTACGGGACCGACTGGCAGCATCCAGGGACGGCCGGTGGGGTCTGTAAGGGGAGCCTGACTCCTGGAAAAAACAAAAATAGTTTCCATGCTGGTCTTTCCAATAACTGCCAGCTACAGTGCTCTGCCTCCGTGGTGACAAGGGAGGGCCACACGAATGCACTCGTGATGCTTTGCACTGGTTGTGGAATTTTTACACTGTGGGCCAGGCAGCTCTGCAGCTGAGCAGCTGGGGACTGTGACTGGCTGGGTGACAGCACTGCCAGCAGCACCCGGGTACAACAAAAATTGTTGTTCACAAACGCATCTTTCTGCAAGGATGGCCAGCAGCATCCTGAGCTCCACTGGGCAGGGACACCAACAGATTGAGGGAGATGTTATTTCTCCCACCTTGCCTCAGCCSTGGCAAGACCACAGTTGGAGTGTTCTGTCCTGTGGCTCTCCAGGCCAAGAAGGACATAGACATACTGGGATAAATCCTGTAAAGGGTCATTGAGATGATTAGGGGATGAGATCCAATCCTGATGTGTAAGGAGAAGCATAGAGAGATGGGATTGTTTATACTACAGAATACAAAATTCAAAGGGTTATTATCAATGTGTGCAAATATCTGAGCAGGGACAGTAAATCATTAGACTCTGCTAAATGGTTTCCAGTGAAAGAACAGGAGAGAATTGGCATAAACTGAAGTATGAGGAATTCCACTTGAACATAAAGAAAACTTTTTAACCGTGAGGGTGCCAAACACAGGCACGTGTTACAGAGACAGCCTGCCAAGTTTCTATCATTRCAGTTGTTTGAAACGCAGCTGGACATCATCTGCAAGAACCTGCACTAGGTGACTGCTTTGAGCAGAGCGATTGGACCACATAGTCTCCAAAGGTCCCGGCCGACCTCAGCCATATGCCTTCTTTAAAAATGTAAAGAAGAAAAGGAAACAGGAGAGAAGAAGATTTCTCTTGCTCTCTGGACGTAAGGACTGAAACAGATAAGAGTTTGTTTTTTTTTTTTTTCTCATTTGTTATTGCATTGAGTTAGATGAAACATGAATAAGGATGGGTAGGGCACTGGTAAATATAATGCTTCTATGATTACTTGGTCAAAAGGATTGAAAGCCTGTGTGGGGATTTTTTTTTTTTTTTCTGGCCTGTAAATCCACCGGGAATAACCTTGTGTTTTGGCTGGCTGCCTTTTTCAGCAGGAAGATTAGCAATAATTTTATTTGTCATCTTCTGGCAGGTATAAGTCACCTTCACCATTGAAGTGGTATGTGTGGACTTGTTCACTGCAACCTTTCAAAAATTAATTTTAACTATGCATTTAGAGTGCCACAGAAAGGAAAATTAARTTTTACATGATAGGTCTGAAGATGGATTCAGAACATCTAGCAATACAGAGTGCAGTCATTTGCTTTTATAATCCAGTGTCCAATTGGGTGCTCCCTGAGGTTAACTGGAACATAGCAATCAGCCTCTCTTTGTTAAACTACACAGTGTAAGATCCTTATTAAAAGAAAATGTCAGCTTCAGGCTTTGGGTAACTATTAATCCTCTTTGTAGCACTTCCATRAATATGGTGTAGGTAGTAAATACATGGGCCTGACTTTCAATAATGTTTGTCTTTCAGAAGATGTTCTGAAACACATATAAATGATCTATAATATATGTGTTCCATCTAGAATATGATCTAATGAGGAAATGCATTGGACAAATCCTGGTGTTAAGCCCCATTCCTTAGATAAAGTGTCAGTGAAAGAAAGTATCTTACTCAATAATTTGTTTTTTGCGTCTTAGATCTTGCTGTGGACTAATATTATCTACTTATGAAATCATACTTTCTATACTCTTGTCTGTAAAATGTTGGCCCACATTAGGCCATGTGGCAATAGAAGTTGCAGTGCTCCTTTCTTGATGCAACAGTAAGCATGTGCTTTCTTTTTTCTGTGTTGTGCACACTGAAGACATTACTGAAATTCACTGTTTGGAGTAGTTTTCTTAATTTTCCTCTATAGAGAACTATAAAGGGAAAATTGGAAAGAGGAAAGCTGAGATAGCTTTTCCCTTGGGTAGAGAGGAGATGGAAATGGGTTTGYCTGATTCTCCCTAAGTTGCTTCTTAAACTAAAATAATAAGATTTTTTTTAAGCATGAAGTTGATTATCCATGTCTGAAACAAAGTTGAAAGTATTTGCAAGTCAAGAAGCTCAAATTAAAAGTTGTGGGAATTACAAAACTAATTAAGGGTATTCTTAAACATACAGATGTTAAGCTGATATATTATGTTGGAATGCATCTGTAAGAGTCAGGAACCAAAAATGATTGGACTCTCATATATAGTATCTCTTAGATTTTTTAAAAGTGCTTGAAATTAGTAGGTTTATTTCCCAGAATCAGAGCATTATTCAGCTCTGCTCTTCCCTCGTCTCTAAATGTGTAAGTACCCTTGTAACTCCATTGCCCAAGAAGCTTGGAAATATTTAGGTGTATTACTGAACAAGGCCGGTGGAAGTAAACATTCACAGCCTGGGTAACAATAAGGTTTCTATGAAATACACGTTGCTGAATGTTTCCTTCTGCTTTCCAAAGTACATTATTCCTCTTGAAGCAAATAGGATTATGGTAAAACTGGAAAATAATTTTTTCTTACTTTTATAGAAGATTAAAAAATAGACCTAACTGTTGCTTGCAGCTGTAATGGAATTTTTGTAGGTGTTAAACCATATACACATTTTGAAGACTGGTGAAATGTGCATTATACATGTTTATGGTAAAATGCCTTGGGTCTGTATTTTAAACATGTAGTTCTGATCTTACAGTATCAGAAAGCTGTAGATTTGTTTTGAATTGTGTCTTGGTTTGGATATGAGAATCAGGCTAYAGATCTAGAGCTGATGATAGTATGTTTTATAGCTGGCTGCCTGTTTTGCATGGCAGGGACTTTAGTACTGTTCYGGTATTTCATGTACTCATTTAGTGGGAACACTAACATGAACAGCTYAAAGGTGGAGCAGTGCAGTAAAATGATAGCACAAAGGCCTTCCTACTTGTCAACAAGTCCACTAGATGTCCCTCCAACTCTTTGTGATGCTAACACGTAGCTGATTTAGTCAGACTGGATCTAAGCTGAAGAGCAGTGCGTTTTATGTCCCATATCTTGCATATGCAGCTCTTCTTGCGTTCCTGCAGCATTTATGAATACAACATAAATCCAGTTGCAGAAGGTGACTATAGGTGTCTTCCTTCTGTATCTGTACACGTGTGATTTTGATCTGTCAAAATGTTTTTATTCGATTCAAGTGGAAGGAAGACACAATCTCACTGTATGGATAGTGGGCAGATACRCTGCCCCCAACATTTTTACACTGGGGTGGAAAAATGAATGCATTATTAGGTTATGCCTAGAGTTTATGAAAAAAAAAAAAGACAATTTAGCTCAGTCTCAACATTTCTACTCTGCAGGTGAGGACCARTCTGGAATGGAATCTAAAAGTTTAGTCAGGTGGCCCTATCAGCAATTCAGTCTTACTATAAAAGTGGTCAGCTCAGAAACCTCAGAAAAGTTAAGATACTTTTTCACTACCTTGAAATATGAAGATTAAACTCCTCTGAAATGATGTTAGCTCTGTTCTGTATTTTCTGCTGCTACTCTGAATTAGTAATCTTTTCAAGCATGCTGCTGTCCTGATGTTTGTGACATCTGGAAATCCAGTTCCAGAGTTTGGGTAAATATCATGTGAGATAATATCCTATTTTTGTTGAGTATTCTTACTCCTGTGGTTTGACACAGAGAAAATTGATCTAAGTCTTGTTCTTTGTATTTTTTAATCCCATAGTCACTTATTCACCTTCTAAGTAAAAAAAAAAATCCTCATATTTTTATGATTTCTACTAATATCCCTGCTCTTTCTGATCACATTTTCCTTGATTTTTCTCCCTCAATTTCTCTATGTTATGTTTTCCATGGTGAGATGACTAGCGTAGGATGAATTTCTTTAGATGACAAAACTACAGGAGATCCTGGCAAATTAATCTACTAGAAATATTAGTGTTGGCAAAAAAAATAGTTTAGATATGGAAAAAATAGCTCTTTGTGTAACTTCATCTGCAGCACTACTCATATACCGATTACACAGACTGATAGAGATAAAACTGTGTTGAAGATAAGGGCTATTGCTTTATAATTAGGAGGTGCTTAACATATCTTCCAACCTTYCTCTCCTCTTTTCTCCTATGATAATGAGAAAGCAAACAAGGGAAGTAAGATTAGGGAGGTTCATGTGAAATTCCTTTCCTCTCTCTGCTTTCCTTTCTGATAGCATGTGCCTGTACTGTCTGGTCCTGAAGTTGTCACTTTATGTCAATCTCTCAATCACCCAACTGTTTTCCTGTCCCGTTCCTGGATAGGTTAGTCAGTCATATCTATCACAGAAGTTCTCCGAAGGGCAATACTTACATTCTTTGCTGCTGAAGTTAATAGTTTATATTTTCACAATATCTTATTGGCAWTTTTG